TGAAATTTTTTTTTCAAAATTTTACACTGTTTAGGGAAAAAAATTAAATATTTAATTACCAATTGCTTAATGCTGGCAGGCAATCATCTGACCCATAGGTGGCAGCCCTCTCAAGCCAGAGGACGAGAGGACTCTAGCCGCCACGCATATAAAGGATTTAGAGTGAAAAATCTAGTTTTTACGGGTTAATTTTTTCTTCTTGGTTCTTTCGGTAAAGTCACGTAGAAGAGAAGTAATAAAATAATATAAGTATAACCCGTAAAAACAAAGTTTTTCACTATAAATTATTTATATGCGTGGCGGCTAGAGTCCTCTCGTCCTCTGGCTTGAGATGGCTGCCACCTATGGGTCTTATGATTGCATTGCACCATTAAGTAATTGGTAATTAAATATAATATTTTTGTCCTAAAAAGTGTAAAATTTTGGAGAAAAAAATTTCACGAACATTAATTGTCACGCTCAACGAGTCTGTGTGGAAAATGTCAGCTCGATTGGATCACAGAAAGTGGGTTAAAAAACGACCGAAAGATTTGCACGGTCCTAAACAAGCAAGCAAACTTAATATAAAGGATTTAAAAATAAAACATAATAAAATAATTCTCACGACGTTTCGGCCACAACGCAAGCAGCCGTCCTCAGGTGAAGACCAGGTCTGTTATTACTTCCCTTCTACGTGACTTTACCGAAAGAGCCAAGAAGATGAATCCCTGCAGTCACGAAAGCTTTAAATCGAAATATTTGTCTTTTGTCAACGTGACACTTTTTACTGATTGGCCGTGTCGGGTGGTGGAGGGTTACGACACATTGATTTATAAAGCTGCACAGCATTTTGATGTGACGTCACATTTCTCAAACACACCCCCTCCCCTAAGTCCGTGACGTCATTTATGGACGGCCCCATACTTTTACCCGGTGATGCCTCGCACTCAAAAACAATCGTTGCGGTGGTGACAAGCCACGCGCAACATCGCCATCTGCTGAGCATCCTGCGATGTTCTAAAAAAAATTAACCCGTAAAAACAAAGTTTTTCACTATAAATCCTTTATATGCGTGACATCGGTTTTATTTTATTATTCATTTCAGTTTTTCTTGAGTAAGAGTTTCATGTTTTTATCACATTGGTATTTTAAATTAAATATGAAATTGTTTTTCTTTCAAAAAAGTGGAAAATTTTGGAAATGTTTTTTTTCACCAAAATCAATTGTCACGCACAACGAGTCTGTGTGCAAAATGTCAGCTCGATTGGATCACGGGAAGTGGGTTAAAAAACGACCAAAGATTTGCACGGTCTCGATTTAAAGCTTTCGTGACTGCAAGGATTCATCTTCTTGGTTCTTTCGGTAAAGTCACGTAGAAGGTAAATATTAAAATAATAGAAATAAAACTTAATAAAACGATCTTTAAAAAATAAAATAATACGTGACTTTACCGAAAGAACCAAGAAGACTTGCGCGGTCGTAAGCGCGCAAGCAAGAAAGCAAGCGAACTTAATATAAAGGATTTAAAAAGTCTCATTGCGAATATTGTGGGTTGCTTTGACTGGTTTCGCAGCCCTTTGCACCCCCCCCCCCTTTGGTTCTCAATCGTAAGGGGGCGTCCATAAATGACCTCACGCACCTGGGGGAGAGGGGGGGGCGGTCAGACATTTGTGACGATGTGTGACGAAGGGGGGGGGGGTGAGAGCCACATTAAATACGCACTACAATGACAATAGTTTAAAGCAATTTGAAACATATTTTTTTGGGGGGGGGGGCAGAGCTTTGTGACGTCATATTTGAGGGGGGGGGGGTCTGGCTTTTTGTGACGCCGTGTGACGAGGGGTGGGGGGGGTAAAACATTGTCCAAAATCGCGTGACGTCATTTATGGACGGCCCCAAGGCTCCGGTAAATGTTAAGAGCCACTGCTGTGTATGATGGTGGTGATGGTGGTAATAGTGTTGAGTCGGTGTGTGTGTGTAGGTGTGTGTCACTGTGTGTGTGTCACTGTGTGTGTCACTGTGTGTCACTGTGTGTGTGTGTCACTGTGTGTGTACGCGTGTGTGTGTCACTGTGTGTGTCACTGTGTGTGCGTAGGTGTGTGTGCGTAGGTGTGTGTGTGTCACTGTGTGTGTGTCACTGTGTGTGTGTGTCACTGTGTGTGTGTGACTGTGTCACTGTGTGTGTCACTGTGTGTGTGTCACTGTGTGTGTCACTGTGTCACTGTGTGTCACTGTGTGTGTGTGTCACTGTGTGTGTACGCGTGTGTGTCACTGTGTGTGTGTCACTGTGTGTGTGTCACTGTGTGTGTGTCACTATGTGTCACCCCTTACAACAAAAGTACAATGTTAATGCCACACATTCTGGGTCGATGACACAAAGTTGTGTTTTCTGCGGTTGCCCCGTGCGTGATTTGTGTATTCGACGAATTGCGAGTTCGAAAACAAATCTGGCCGCGTCTCGCACGCGCACCCCCAGAAAGGGGATCTCGCTCCCCCGGGGGGCAGAGGTCGCAAACGGGTTTTGATTCCTTACCCGTACCCGGCCGCACCAGGGTCGCAAACGGGTACCCGTACCCGTACCCGGCCGTACCCGTACCCGATACGGGTATCGGGTACCTGATTGCGACCTCTGGGATGAAGCCATGTTGCAGGCGCGGGTGGGTTGATTCTAGGAACTTGAATTGTGAGAAGAGACAAGACGTTGGGAAATGAGTGACAAACGGTGACTCACCAGTGACTCACGGCCTACCCGTACCCGGCCGCACCAGGGTACCCGGCCGGGTACGGGTAGCCGGGTATCGGGTACCCGGTCGCGACCTCTACCGGGTGGTGGTGTGAGATCGATGTGAGGTCAACGGGAGATCGACGGGAGCGGTGGTGCAGTGGTTAGCGCGCTGCGCTAACAGCGGAGATCGTGAACCGAGGTCTCGATTCCCAGCCGAGGGTAACACCGGTGACGACTGTTCGTCGTGGGCCGTGTGAAGTGAAGTCACCGGCCGGGTTTTTCCCATGGGGTCATTGGTTTGTCAACCACTGGTTCAGATTTGAAGCTTTCGTGACTGCAAGGATTCATATTCTTAGGTTTTTTTCGGTGCCGTGCCGCGTCGTCATCTTACTTGCAGCAGCAGGACGTTGCCGTCCACTCATTGATGTGCTAATTTTTTTCTGCCCCCTCCCTCTCTCCGCCCCCGCCCCCCCTATCTCTATATTTAAGGCACCGTCACAGAAACGACCTCTCTCTTTGTGCCGATGTGTTCTCTCTCTGTGTGTCCTTGTGATGTCTGTCTGCTTGTATGTCTGTCTATAGTTTTCTAGTTAGATTTTTGTTGCTAGTTCTTTTATGCCTGATGATGATTGCTTGTGTTGCAATCGAAACGTCGTAATATGCTATTATTTAATTTATTATTTTATCTTTAGACGTGACTTAACCGAAAGAACCAAAGAATAATTCCTGCAGTCACGAAAGCTCCAAAATTAAGATTGAAAAAAAAAATGTTTTACCTACGTGACTTTATCGAAAAAACCTAAGAACACTGGTTCAGTGCCACGTCAACCTTTTACCACCTTCATACATTCAACGGTGACACGAACTACGTACAGACAAAGGCACTCTGCGCTTTCAGGGAAACAGTGTGTAGTGTTTTTTTTATTATTATTATACAAACAGCTTAGTCAATACAATTCATAAAACACGATTTCATTGACTTATCCACTGCTAGTGGACGTCCTTTGCTCGACCAAGTTGAGAACTTCATTGAGATGAATTTCTCTCTCTCTTGAGATTCAAGTCCTTTATTTAACCAGATCACAACACATTGAGATGAATTTCTCTCTCTCTTGAGATTGAAATGCTTTATTTAACCAGATCACAACCCATTGAGATGAATTTCTCTCCCTTGAGATTCGAATCCTTTAACCAGATCACAACCCATTGAGATGAATTTCTCTCTCTTGAGATTGAAATGCTTTATTTAACCAGATAACAACCCACTGAGATGAATTTCTCTCTCTTGAGATTCAAATCCTTTATTTAACCAGATCATACCCCAACTGAGATGAATTTCTCTCTCTCTTGAGATTGAAATTCTTTATTTAACCAGATCACAACCCATTGAGATGAATTTCTCTCCCTTGAGATTCGAATCCTTTATGTAACCAGATCACAACACATTGAGATGAATTTCTCTCTCTTGAGATTCGAATCCTTTATTTAACCAGATCATACCCCAACTGAGATGAATTTCTCTCTCTCTTGAGATTCGAATCCTTTATTTAACCAGATCACAACCCATTGAGATGAATTTCTCTCGCTTGAGATTGAAATGCTTTATTTAACCAGATCACAACCCATTGAGATGAATTTCCCAAAACGCTCAGATCATTGCACGAAAAACTTTCACCTGCCGTACACTTTTCCTCTATATATATTCATTTTTAAAAAACGTAATAATGACGATAACAGTAACCGCGCCACACCCCCACGCCCCGTTGCGTTCAATCGCGTCGTGGTTGCCGCACCGCCGGCAAATCAAGCAAAGGGTGGTCGTGATCACGTGACCAAAACGTGCCCATACTTCTTCTTGGTTCTTTCGGTAAAGTCGCGTAGAAGGGAAATAATAAAATAATAAAAATAAAACATAATAAAATAATTCTCACGACGTTTCGGCCACAACGCAAGCAGCCGTCCTCAGGTGAAGAATGAAACACCACCAAGCTTGGAGTGTCTATTTAAGCTGGGTTGGTGGGAGAAGAGCGCCTTGACAAAAGAATTTGCATATCAAGATTAATTGAGCATTAATTCTAGACTTGAAGCTTTCGTGACTGCAAGGATTCATATTCTTAGGTTTTTTCTTTTTTTCGGTAAAACGAAACGTCGTGATCTTTATTTTATTTTTTATTAATTTTGATGTTTTACCTACGTGACTTTACCGGAAAAAACAAACAAACCTAAGAATATTAATTGAGCATATTTATGGGAAATGCAGATATGGGATTAGTCACTACTTGTGAAATGCGTAGGAGGTGGGCAGGGGGTTTTCAAAGTCATATTATGCCCGTGCATTATGCAGGATTAGCAGCATCAAAGGGAGGGGATAGGGGTAGCATTAACAAAGGGAAGGAATGTTAATAGCATGTAGCTGCAGTTACTTACCGAAAGAACCAAGAAGATGAATCCCTGCAGTCACGAAAGCTTTAAATCGAAATTTTACGTGCCCATACTCTTTGGTTCTTTCGGTAAAGTCACGTAGGTAAGACAAATAAAATCAATCAAATTGCGACGTTTCGATCGCAACACAGGGATTCCTGATGACAACCACCAATTGCTGTTGCGATCGAAACGTCGCAATTTGCTTGATTTTATTTCTAACTACGTGAAAGCTAATCCTACTTCCTCCCTTTGTTGCTGCTAATCCTACATAATACACGAGCATAATATGACTTTGAGACCCCTCACCACCACCTACACATTCCACAACTAGTGACTAATCCCATATCTGTATTTTCCATAAATATGCTAAATCCCTCTGTTGATATGTAAACTCCTTTGTCAAGGCGCCCTTTCCTCCTCCAACCCAGCTTAAATATACGATGCCAAGCTTGGTGGTGTTCATTCAGACGCTGTCTTTCCGACAGCCCTGTTCTTCACCTGAGGACGGCTGCCTGCGTTGTGGCCGAAACGTCGTGAGAATTGTATTTCATTAAGTTTAGTTATTTTATTATTTACATTCTACGTGACTTCACCGAAAAAACCAAGAGGATGAATCCCTGCAGTTACGAAAGCTTTCAATCGAAATTTTCTGCCGCTGTTCCGATTCGCGCAGATCACAGTCACGAAGACAAACTTGGAGGGGGGAGTCCCCCCCCCCCACCAGCACCACGTCCCCGGCCGCCTTTGTCTCCCCAGCGGGCGACATTAACTGCGCGCATCGCGCCGAGCTCACTCGTCGGATGAATTCATCATCGCCGGGGTTGGTGGCCGTGAGCGGGAACGGCGGTTAGAGCGAGTTACCGGGAGCAGCTTCCGCGGAGATTCAAACGCAAGGATCTTGCGAGGGGTTTGGTCTTCCACGAGGCTGCCCCACGCGGCCCACCCTTCAGCAACATCTGCCGCACGTACCACGGTGGCAGGGAGCAGTTAGACGCGGATGATGATAGCCGACGCACAGGTGGACGATTGAAACCTGTCCGGCAGTAGTAGTGACGCGCGACCGTAAGTCATCCACAACGGAGAGCGTAGTGCAACTTGTGATGACGCAATGCCCCCCCCCCCCCCACAAAATCACAGCGATGACGACGATGATGACGATGATGACGATGACGACGATGACGATGATGACGATGACGACGATGACGACGATGACGACGATGATGACGACGATGATGATGACGATGATGACGACGATGACGACGATGATGATGACGATGATGACGATGATGATGATGACGATGATGACGACGATGACGACGATGATGACGATGACGACGATGACGACGACGATGATGATGATGATGACGATGACGACGACGATGACGACGACGATGACGACGGCGACGATGATGACGACGACGACGACGATGATGACGATGACGACGACGACGTTCGCACGACGACTCCGCTGGCTCCTGCTGACGCGGTTGTCCAAGTCGCTGGTCACTGCGTCGACATCGGCAGGAAGCGGTGATTTGAAGTCCGGCGTTTCGGCCGTCGCCCGCCCCGCCGGGAGAAGGAGGAGGTCGAACCGGTCGACCTCCCGGATTCCGCAAGTCCAGCCGCGTCCCCCCCCCCCGGCCTGCTCACGTGACCGCGGGGGTCAGTCCGCCGCTGTAAACATATGGGAGGCAGTGGGAGTGGCTTTACACAGTGGGGGCGTGTCTCTGCCCATATATGGGAGGCAGTGGGTGTGGCTTTACACACCCACCCACCCACTCTCCTACCCACCCACCCACTCTCCTACCCACCCACCCACTCTCCTCCTCACCCACCCACTCTCCTACCCACCCACCCACTCTCCTACCCACCCACCCACTCTCCTCCCCACCCACCCACTCTCCTCCCCACCCACCCACTCTCCTCCCCACCCACCCACTCTCCTACCCACCCACCCACTCTCCTACCCACCCACCCACTCTCCTACCCACCCACCCACTCTCCTACCCACCCACCCACTCTCCTACCCACCCACCCACTCTCCTACCCACCCACCCACTCTCCTACCCACCCACCCAGCCACCCTCTTACACACCCACCCTCCTACCTAACAATCCACCCACTCTCCTACCCACCCACCCACTCTCCTACCCACCCACCCAGCCACCCTCTTACACACCCACCATCCTACCCACCCTCCTACCCAACAATCCACCCACTCACCTACCCACCCACCCACTCTCCTACCCACCGACCCAGCCACCCTCTTACACACCCACCCTCCTACCCACCCTCCTACCCAACAATCCACCCACTCACCTACCCACCCACCCACTCTCCTACCCACCCACCCACTCTCCTACCCACCCACCCAGCCACCCTCTTACACACCCACCATCCTACCCACCCTCCTACCCAACAATCCACCCACTCACCTACCCACCCACCCACTCTCCTACCCACCCACCCACCCACTCTCCTACCCACCCACCCAGCCACCCTCTTACACACCCACCCTCCTACCCACCCTCCTACCCAACAATCCACCCACTCACCTACCCACCCTCCTGCCCACAAATCCACCCACCCACTCTCCTACCCACCCACCCTACTACCCACCCACCTACCCACCCACCCTCCTACCCACAAATCCACCAATCCACCCACCCACTCTCCTACTGACCCACCCACCCACCCACCCTCCTACCCACCCACCCACCCTCCTACCCACCAGTCCACCCACCCTCCTACCCACCAGTCCACCCACCCACCCTCCACCCTCCCAGCGACCCACCTACCCTCCTAACCATCCACCCACCCTCTTACCCACCCACCCACCCACCTCCGACCCACCAGTCCACCCACCCACCCTCTTACCCACCCACCCACCCACCTCCGACCCACCAATCCACCCACCCACCCTCCTACCTACCCACCCTTCACCCTCTCCCAGCGACCCACCAATCCACCCACCCTCTTACCCACCCACCCTCCTACCCACCAATCTACCCACCCACCCTCCTACCTACCCACCCTCCACCTCCCCCCCACCCACCCAGGGGCGTCACTCGCTGATGGTCTTGATGAACTCGACGGCGGAGCAGAACTGCAGCCAGCAGTACGCGTCGTGCCCCGCCATGGAGGCTGCGTGCAGGTTGCTCACGTACTGCACCGTCGACAGCAGCGCCCGCGGGTTCGCCTGCGTGTGCGTGTGTGTGCGCGTGTGTGTGCGCGTGTGTGTGTACGTGTGTGTGTGTACGTGTGTGTGTGTGTGTGTGCGTGTGCGAGTGTGTGGACATGTGTGTGTGTGCGCGTGTGTGCGAGTGTGTGGACATGTGTGTGTACGTGTGAGTGTGAGCGCGTGTGTGTGTGTGTACGTGTGTGGGTGTGTACGTGTGTGTGTACGTGTGTGTACGTGTGTGTGTGTGTACACGTGTGTGTGTGTCGGTGTGTGTGTGTACGTGTGCGTGTGTGTGCGTGTGTGTACGTGTGTACGTGTGTTTGTACGTGGTGTGTGTGTGTGCGTGTGTGTGCGTGCACGTGTGCACATGCGTGTGCGTGGGTGGGTGTGGGTGCGTGCGTGCGTGCGTGCACATGCGTGAGCGTGTGTGTGTGCGTGTGTGTGTGTGCGTGTGTGTGTGTGGGTGCGCGTACACGTGTGTGCGTGCGCGTGTGTGCGTGCGTGCGTGTGTGTGTGTGTGTGCGAGCGTGGTGCAACAGAGTATGCAAGATTCACGACTCAACTCGACTCATTCGAGGTCACGGAAATCGGACACCAACAGGCACAAGCGACGCGTGCCTGTAGCAGCGTCATCGCGACCTTGACCCCCACCCCGACAAGAGGTCACGGAAACCGTACCCGAGGCATCAACAGAGTCGCGACTCGCGTCCGTAGGGTCACCGCGACCTTGACCCCTACCCCGACCTTGACCCGGTCGAGCGAGCGGGTGACCTGACCCCGGGGCTGACCTGCACTATGACGTAGACCATGACGGGGATGAGGTCATCCGCGCCAGGCCCCGACCCTCGCTCCGTCGCCAAGCTCAGCAGGTTCACGACCGTGCGGCACACACGCAGGATGCAGCGAGCTTTGTCGCTCGGGGTCTGGGGGGTGGGTGGAGTGAGAAGACGAAAAAGATTGCGTCCCCCTCCCTTAGGTAGCCGTGATGGCTAGGAGATGTTGACTACCTCGCCTGGTGTACAGGAGGTCGTGGGTTCGATCCCGACCCTGACGCCTGCTGCTGTATATTTGGAGTTTGTGTGTCTCTCTCTCTCTCATCATCACGGTGACTAGGAGATGTTAACTACCTCGCCTGGTCTACAGGAGGTCGTGGGTTCCATCCCGACCCACACAAAGCTTTGCCCTGTGCCTGATTTGTGTTTTCGATGATTTACAACTTCCCAAAAAACCTTCTGGCCAGTCTCTCGCATCCCCAGGGAGCACGCGATTTTGGACAATTTTTGACTCCCCCTCCCTTCGTCACACGGCATCACAAAAACTCAGACACCCCCCCCCCTCAAATATGACGTCACAAAGCTCTGCCCCCCGCCCCCACCCAAAAAAACCTAAAACATGCTTCAAATCGCTTTAAACTATTGTCATTGTAGTGCGTATTTAATGCGGCGCTGCACTCTGATGTTGTAGGAGAAAACACTTATTAAAAAGGGAAATAATAAAATAATAAAAATATATAAAACAAATCAAATTCCAGTTTTATTGTTAGCAGTTTTATATGATTTCCCTTCTACGTGACTTTACCGAAAGAACCAAGAATATGAATCCCTGCAGTCACGAAAGAAGCTTTAAATCGAAACATTTATTAAAAAGTCAACTTAATTAAGCAGAACGTGTTGTCCGTATTCATTTCAAGTTGCGCATTTTCACGCGACGTCACATCTGTCAAACCACGGCCCCCCCCCCCTCCCCCCTCGTCACACATCGTCACAAATGTCTGACCACCCCCCCCCACCCCCCCCCCAGGTGCGTGACGTCATTTATGGACGGCCCCTGGTCACGTGGCCAACGCCGCGCGCCATGAGGCCTGCGACCGCCCTTACCTTGTAAGCCCACAGCAGCTGCAGCTCCTCCTGTGCCTGCCACCAGGGGGCCTCGTTGTAGAAAGCCTGCAGCAGGTCACAGCAGGACACAGCAGGTCACAGCAGGTCACAGCAGGTCACAGCAGGTCACAGCAGGACACAGCAGGACACAGCAGGTCACAGCAGGACACAGCAGGACACAGCAGGTCACAGCAGGACACAGCAGGTCACAGCAGGACACAGCAGGACACAGCAGGTCACAGCAGGACACAGCAGGTCACAGCAGGACACAGCAGGACACAGCAGGTCACAGCAGGACACAGCAGGACACAGCAGGACACAGCAGGTCACAGCAGGACACAGCAGGGCACAGCAGGTCACAGCAGGACACAGCAGGTCACAGCAGGACACAGCAGGTCACAGCAGGACACAGCAGGTCACAGCAGGACACAGCAGGACACAGCAGGACACAGCAGGTCACAGCAGGACACAGCAGGACACAGCAGGTCACAGCAGGACACAGCAGGTCACAGCAGGACACAGCAGGTCACAGCAGGTCACAGCAGGTCACAGCAGGACACAGCAGGACACAGCAGGACACAGCAGGTCACAGCAGGTCACAGCAGGACACAGCAGGACACAGCAGGACACAGCAGGTCACAGCAGGACACAGCAGGTCACAGCAGGACACAGCAGGTCACAGCAGGTCACAGCAGGACACAGCAGGTCACAGCAGGTCACATCAGGACACAGCAGGACACAGCAGGTCACAGCAGGTCACCGCAGGACACAGCAGGACACAGCAGGTCACAGCAGGTCACTGCAGGTCACTGCAGGACACAGCAGGACACAGCAGGTCACTGCAGGACACAGCAGGACACAGCAGGTCACAGCAGGACACAGCAGGTCACAGCAGGACACAGCAGGTCACAGCAGGTCACAGCAGGACACAGCAGGTCACAGCAGGTCACAGCAGGACACAGCAGGACACAGCAGGACACAGCAGGACACAGCAGGACACAGCAGGACACAGCAGGTCACAGCAGGTCACAGCAGGTCACAGCAGGTCACAGCAGGTCACAGCAGGACACAGCAGGTCACAGCAGGTCACAGCAGGACACAGCAGGTCACAGCAGGTCACAGCAGGACACAGCAGGTCACAGCACGTCACAGCACGTCACAGCAGGTCACAGCAGGTCACAGCAGGTCACAGCAGGTCACAGCAGGACACAGCAGGTCACAGCAGGTCACAGCAGGACACAGCAGGACACAGCAGGTCACAGCAGGTCACAGCAGGACACAGCAGGACACAGCAGGTCACAGCAGGTCACAGCAGGTCACAGCAGGTCACAGCAGGTCACAGCAGGACACAGCAGGTCACAGCAGGTCACAGCAGGACACAGCAGGTCACAGCAGGTCACAGCACGTCACAGCAGGTCACAGCAGGTCACAGCAGGTCACAGCAGGTCACAGCAGGACACAGCAGGTCACAGCAGGTCACAGCAGGACACAGCAGGACACAGCAGGACACAGCATGTCACAGCAGGTCACAGCAGGTCACAGCAAGGTAGGGCAGAGGTCGCAACCGGGTACCCTACCCGTACCCGGCCGGGTACGGGTAGGGTACGGGTACGGGTAGGGTACGGGTAGGGCCGGGTACGGGTAGGGTATGGGTAGGGTACGGGTAGGGTACGGGTACGGGTAGGGTACGGGTAGGGTACGGGTAGGGTACGGGTAGGGTACGGGTACGGGTAGGGTACGGGTAAGGAATCAAAACCCGTTTGCGACCTCTGAGGCAGGGCAATCAGGACCGCCCGGGACAGAGAGAGAGAGAGAGGCGGGGGGCGGGGAGATGGAGGAGACGCCCAGACCCAGGGCTCTGGAACTCGAGATTTTCTCAGCTGTGTTGGCTGAAGCTTCTCCCACACAGCCATTAGGAACCATTCTCTGAGACAGCTAGAGCCGGGGATTGAACCCAGGTTCTGTGTGTGTGTGTGTGTGACATCCATTATGGATCCCCTGAGAGAGAGAGAGAGAGACACCTGGGCCCAGGGCTTGAACCCAGGTTCAGGGCGTGTCTGTGTGTGACACATCCATTATGAACCCCCTGAGAGAGAGACACCCAGACCCAGGACTTGAACCCAGGTTCAGGGCGGGCGTGTGTGTGTGTGACATCCATTATGAACCCCCTGAGAGACAGACAGAGACACCTAGACGCAGGGCTTGAACCTACGTTCAGTGTGTGTGTGACATCCATTATGAACCCCCTGAGAGACAGACACACCCAGACCCAGGGCCTGAACCCAGGTTCAGGGTGAGTGTGTGTGTGTGTGTGACATCCATTATGAACCCCCTGAGAGAGAGACAGACACCTGGACCCAGGGCTTGAACCCAGGTTCAGGGTGAGTGTGTGTGTGTGACATCCATTATGAACCCCTGAGAGAGAGACAGACACCTGGACCCAGGGCTTGAACCTACGTTCAGTGTGTGTGTGTGTGACATCCATTATGAACCCCCTGAGAGAGAGACACACCCAGACCCAGGGCTTGAACCCAGGTTCAGGGTGTGTGTGTGTGTGACATCCATTATGAACCCCCTGAGAGAGAGACAGACACCTGGGCCCAGGGCTTGAACCCAGGTTCAGGGCGTGTGGAGGTACCGTGCGGATCTGGATGGCCGGGTGGTCAGGGGTCACGATGAGGGCGAGATGCTGGATGTGACGGGAGAACAACCTGTAAGACATCGTCGTGATGATCATCATCGTTATCGTCGTCATCACCGTCACCATCATCGTCATCATCATCGTCATCATCATCGTTATCACTGTCACCATCATCATCATCATCGTCGTCGTCGTTATCATCGTCATCACCATCACCATCATCATCGTCATCATCGTCGTTATCATCGTCATCACCATCATCATCATCATTGTTATCATCGTCATCACCGTCACCATCACCATCATCATCATCGTCGTTATCATCGTCATCACCATCATCATCATCATTGTTATCATCGTCATCACCGTCACCATCACCATCATCATCATCGTTATCATCGTCATCACCGTCACCATCATCGTCATCATCGTTATCATCGTCATCACCGTCACCATCATCATCATCATCATCGTCGTTATCATCGTCATCACCGTCACCATCATCATCATCGTCGTTATCATTGTCATCACCGTCACCATCATCGCCATCATCGTCGTCGTTATCATCGTCATCACCATCGTCATCATCATCGTCATCGTTATTATTGTCATCACCGTCACCATCATCGTCATCGTCGTTATTATTGTCATCACCGTCACCATCATCATCATCATCATCGTCGTCGTTATCATTGTCATCACCGTCACCATCATCGCCATCATCGTCGTCGTTATCATTGTCATCATCATCGTCACCATCATCGTCATCGTCGTTATCATTGTCATCACCGTCACCATCATCGCCATCATCGTCGTCGTTATCATTGTCATCATCATCGTCATCATCATCGTCATCATCATCGTCATCATCATCGTCATCATCGTACCAGCAGCATCACATCATCACGGCCAAGTCAAATATATGAATTGTCGTCATCGTCAACCGCGGCGTGATCGCCCCGCCCTCTTTACGAAGGCTTCGTGGTTCCAACCCGGCAGGCCGCACCGGTCAATCTCGTGACAACCCGACGACGCACCACAGGGGCCAACGCGGTGGCCACCGTGTACAGCTAACCGCTCGCTCCCCGCTAACCGCTCGCTCCCAGCTAACCACTCACTTGTTTGCCACTCGCTAACCGCTCCCCTGTTCATGGCTCGCTCCCTGCTAACCGCTAACCGCTAACCACTAACCACTAACCGCTAACCGCTAACCACTAACCGCTAACCGCTAACCGCTAACCGCTAACCGCTAACCGCTAACCACTAACCGCTAACCGCTAACCGCTAACCGCTAACCACTAACCGCTAACCGCTAACCACTCACCGCTAACCACTAACCGCTAACCGCTAACCGCTAACCGCTCACTCCCCGTTAACGGCTCCCTGCTAACCGCTCTCTCCCCGCTAACCGCTAACCGCTAACCACTAACCGCTAACCGCTAACCGCTAACCGCTAACCACTAACCGCTAACCACTCACTCGTCTCGGTGTACGTCGGCGTCATCGTTGGGGTTGAACGCCCAGCGGAAGATCTTCTCCACGACGCTCCGCTCCAGCGCCGCCTCCACTTGCCTACGGAAGCGGCACGTGGCGTCACCACCACCGCCACCACCGCCACCACCGCCACCGCCACCACCACCGTCACCACCACCGCCGCCACCGTCACCACCGCCGCCAGCCGTCCCGGCTACGACGCCGTCCACCAGGCCGGCAGCGAAGGAGCGGAGGATGCCGTGGAGCAGCGGAGTCTTCTCATCCTCCACCGTCAGGAGCTTGTAGGCTGGCGGGGCACGTGGGTGGGTGGGTGGTGGGTGGTGGGTAGGAGGGTGGGTGGTGGGTGGGTGGGTGGTGGGTGGGTGGGTAGGAGGGTGGGTGGTGGGTGGGTGGGTGGTGGGTGGGTGGGTGGTGGGTGGGTGGGTAGGAGGGTGGGTGGTGGGTGGGTGGTAGTGGGTGGTGGGTGGGTGGGTGGTGGGTGGTGGTGGGTGGGTGGTCGGTGGTGGTGGGTGGGTGGTGGGTGGTGGTGGGTGGGTAGGAGGGTGGGTGGTGGGTGGTGGGTGGTGGGTGGGTGGTGGGTGGATGGGAGGGTGAGTGGTTAGGGTGGTGGGTGAGTGGTTAGGGTGGTGGGTGGGAGGGTGGGTGGTTAGGGTGGTGGGTGGGAGGGCGGGTGGGAGGATGGGTGGTTGGGTGGTCGGGAGGGTGAGTGGTGGGGTGGGTGTCTCTATCAACATCACCATCATTCGCACTGTTATTCAAGGGACCCGCTCTCACCACCACACTCACCACGACTCTCACCACGACTCTCACCACCACACTCACCACCACTCTCACCACCGCTCTCACCACCACCACCGCTCACTACCAATCTCACCACCAGTCTCACCACCACTCTCACCACCACACTCACCACCACACTCGCCACTCTCACTGCCACCGCCACTCTCACCACCACACTCACCACCACCACCACTCTCACCGCCACCACCACACTCACCACGGCGGCGCTCACCTGCGACGAACTCGGCGAGCGAGGCGGAGCGCAGCGCCAGGAAGGCGTCCACGTAGAGCGCCGCGAGCCGCGAGTCGCTGGCCGCTCGCTGGCTCGCCGCCACCGCCTCGGCCAGGCTCACGCGGCTCAGCGCGGCGTGCAGAGCGCGCCGACTCCGCACCAGGTAGGCCACGTACCGGGACCGCTCCCTACGCCGCACGCGCAACGCACGCATCGCACGCACACACCGCACACACCGCACACACCGCACACACCGCACGCACACACACACACCACACACACCACACACACCACAGATACACACACACCACACACACCACAGATACACACACACCGCACACACACACACCGCACACACCGCACACACACACACACACCGCACACACCACACACACACACACACACCGCAGATACACACACACCGCACACACACACATCGCACACACCGCACGCACCGCACACACCGCACGCACACACACACACCACAGATACACACACACCGCACCAGGTACTCATTTGAGGCTGAGTCGACCTAGGGGAGGCCCAGGACCGTTTCAGATAATCGTCACTGGTGTTAGCCGTGAGCGGGAATCGAACTCGGGTCGCAGGGTTCATAGCGCAGCGCTAACTGCTACTACATTACCGCTCCCCACTCACACTCACACACTCACTCTCACTCACACTCACACACTCACACACTCACACACTCACTCTCACTCACTCACTCTCACTCACTCTCACATCTCACACTCTCACTCACTCACTCTCTCACGCAAACTCTCACACACTCTCACACACTCTTACACACTCTCTCACTCTCACACACTCTTACACACTCACTCTCACTCACTCACTCTCACACACTCACTCTCACTCACACACACTCTCACACACTCACTCTCACTCACACACACACACACTCACTCACTCACTCTCACTCACACACACTCACTCTCACACTCACTCACACTCACACACACTCACTCTCACACTCACTCACACTCTCTCTCCCTCTCACACACTCACTCTCACACTCACTCTCACTCACACACACTCTCACACACTCACTCTCACTCACACACACACACACTCACTCACTCACTCTCACTCACACACTCACTCTCACACTCACTCACACTCTCTCTCCCTCTCACACACTCACTCTCACACTCACTCTCACTCACACACACTCTCACACACTCACTCTCACTCACACACACACACACTCACTCACTCTAACTCACACACACACTCACTCACTCTCACTCACACACTCACTCTCACTCACACACTCACTCTCACTCACACACACACACACTCACTCACTCACTCACTCTCACTCACACACACACACACTCACTCACTCTCACTCACACACACACACACTCACTCACTCACTCTCACTCACACACTCACTCTCACACTCACTCACACTCTCTCTCTCACACACTCACTCTCACTCACACACACACACACTCACTCACTCACTCTCACTCACACACTCACTCTCACACTCACTCACACTCTCTCTCTCACACACTCGCACACTCACTCTCACACTCACTCACACTCTCTCTCTCACACACTCGCACACTCACTCTCACACTCACTCTCACACTCACTCACACTCTCTCTCTCACACACTCACTCTCACACTCACTCACACTCTCTCTCTCACACACTCGCACACTCACTCTCACACTCACTCACACTCTCTCTCCCTCTCACACACTCACTCACACTCTCTCTCCCTCTCACACACTCACTCTCTCTCTCACACACTCACACACACACACACTCACTCACACTCTCACACTCACTCACACTCTCTCTCTCACACTCTCACTCACACACACACACACTCACTCACTCTCACTCACACACTCACTCACACTCTCTCTCTCACACACTCGCTCTCACACACTCGCACACTCTCTCTCTCACACACTCACTCACACTCTCTCTCTCACACACTCGCTCTCACACACTCGCACACTCTCTCTCTCACACACTCACTCACACTCTCTCTCTCACACACTCGCTCTCACACACTCGCACACTCTCTCTCTCTCACACACTCACTCACACTCTCTCTCTCACACACTCGCTCTCACACACTCGCACACTCTCTCTCTCACACACTCACTCACACTCTCTCTCTCACACACTCGCTCTCACACACTCGCACACTCTCTCTCTCACACACTCACTCACACTCTCTCTCTCACACACTCGCTCTCACACACTCGCACACTCACTCACACTCTCTCTCACACACACTCACTCACACTCTCTCTCACACACTCGCACACTCTCTCTCTCACACACTCACTCACACTCTCTCTCTCACACACTCGCTCTCACACACTCGCACACTCTCTCTCTCACACACTCACTCACACTCTCTCTCTCACACACTCACTCTCTCTCACACACACTCACTCACACTCTCTCTCTCACACACTCGCTCTCACACACTCGCACACTCACTCACACTCTCTCTCACACACACTCACTCACACTCTCTCTCACACACTCGCACACTCACTCACACTCTCTCTCTCACACAAACTCTGCAGAGAAAGCGAACCCCCAACCGTGGCACCACCGCTCACCTGTGCTCGCGTTCCAGCTCGCCAACGATACGCGTGCACCTCGCGTCCACCTCCTCCTCCTCGCCCTCTTCGTCACCTCCTCCTCCACCTCCTGCTCCACCTCCTCCTCCACCTCCTGCTCCACCTCCTCCTCCACCTCCTGCTCCACCTCCTCCTCCACCTCCTGCTCCACCTCCTCCTCCACCGCAGACGCACCGCAGGGCCTCCATGACGCACGTCGTGCGGGTGTCGTCCCCGCAGAGACGCGACTCGGCGAGGCTGGCGCACAGGAAGCGGCGCACGGCGGTGCCCGCACGCACTGGCACGCACACACACGCGCACGCACACACACACGCGCACACACACGCACACACACACACGCACACACGCACACACACACACACGCACGCACACACGCGCCCACGCACACACACGCGCGCACGCACGCACACACGCACACACGCACACACGTGCACACACACACACGCACACACGCACGCACACGCACACACACACACACACGCGCACACACGTGCACACACACACACGCACACACACACGCACACGCGCGCACGCACGCACACGCACACGCACGCACACACACACACACACACGCACACGCGCACACGCACACGCACACACGCACACACACACACACCGGCTATCATCAGTCCACTGCTAAATGAAGGCAACCTCTCTCAGACTCACTCTGTAGAACAGGGGGAGATCACACAAACTCCACTCACTCTGTAGAACAGGGGGAGATCACACAAACTCCCCCGCCCCCTCCCCCCCCAAAGTGCGATGGTCTCACCTCCGACCGCAGCGTTAGCCGGGCCGGCCTGGCAGTGTCCACCGTGAGCCGTGGGGGTGCCGGCAAACGCAGCAGGGACACCGTAGCTCAACGCCGCTCGCAGCTTCACCTTCAGGACGCTGGGAAAAGACGCAGACGGTTAGACACGTTGATGAGTCTATGGGCAGTGTTGAGTGTATGGGCAGTGTTGAGTGTATGGGCAGTGTTGAGTCTATGGGCAGTGTTGAGTCTATGGGCAGTGTTGAGTCTATGGGCAGTTTTGAGTCTATGGGTAGTGTTGAGTCTATGGGCAGTGTTGAGTCTATGGGTAGTGTTGAGTCTATGGGCGGTGTTGAGTCTATGGACAGTGTTGAGTCTATGGACAGTGTTGAGTCTATGGGCAGTGTTGAGTCTATGGACAGTGCTGAGTCTATGGGCAGTGTTGAGTCTATGGGCAGTGTTGAGTCTATGGGCAGTGTTGAGTCTATGGGTAGTGTTGAGTCTATGGGCGGTGTTGAGTCTATGGGCGGTGTTGAGTCTATGGGCGGTGTTGAGTCTATGGACAGTGTTGAGTCTATGGGCAGTGTTGAGTCTATGGGCAGTGTTGAGTCTATGGGCAGTGTTGAGTCTATGGGCAGTGTTGAGTCTATGGACAGTGTTGAGTCTATGGGCGGTGTTGAGTCTATGGACAGTGTTGAGTCTATGGACAGTGTTGAGTCTATGGACAGTGCTGAGTCTATGGGCAGTGTTGAGTCTATGGGCAGTGTTGAGTCTATGGGCAGTGTTGAGTCTATGGGCAGTGTTGAGTCTATGGGCAGTTTTGAGTCTATGGGTAGTGTTGAGTCTATGGGCAGTGTTGAGTCTATGGGCGGTGTTGAGTCTATGGGCGGTGTTGAGTCTATGGGCAGTGTTGAGTCTATGGACAGTGTTGAGTCTATGGACAGTGTTGAGTCTATGGGCAGTGTTGAGTCTATGGGCAGTGTTGAGTCTATGGACAGTGTTGAGTCTATGGGCAGTGTTGAGTCTATGGGCAGTGCTGAGTCTATGGGCAGTGTTGAGTCTATGGGCAGTGTTGAGTCTATGGGCAGTGTTGAGTCTATGGGCGGTGTTGAGTCTATGGACAGTGCTGAGTCTATGGGCAGTGTTGAGTCTATGGACAGTGCTGAGTCTATGGGCAGTGTTGAGTCTATGGGCAGTGTTGAGTCTATGGACAGTGTTGAGTCTATGGGCAGTGTTGAGTCTATGGGCAGTGCTGAGTCTATGGGCAGTGTTGAGTCTATGGGCAGTGTTGAGTCTATGGGCAGTGTTGAGTCTATGGGCGGTGTTGAGTCTATGGGCGGTGTTGAGTCTATGGACAGTGTTGAGTCTATGGGCAGTGTTGAGTCTATGGGCAGTGTTGAGTCTATGGGTAGTGTTGAGTCACCTGTACGTGAGTCTGCGCGAGCCGCATGGTCGCTCGCCCGCCCGTCCGTCCGTAACGTCCACCCCGGCGCACACGCGTGTCGCCGCTGCCAGAGCTACATGCGTGTGCACACACACACGTGCGCGCGGCACAAAGACAAAGCGATCTCACTCACACACATACTCACTCACTCACACACTCACTCACACACTCACTCACACACTCACTCACACACTCACTCACACACTCACTCACTCACACACTCACTCACAAACTCACTCACTCACACACTCACTCACACACTCACTCACACACACACTCACTCACTCACACACTCACTCACACACTCACACACTCACTCACTTACACACTCACTCACTTACACACTCACTCACTCACACACTCACTCACTCACACACTCACACACACACTCACACACTCACTCACACACACACTCACTCACACACTCACTCACACACACACTCACACACTCATTCACTCACACACTCACACACACACTCACTCACACACTCACTCACACACTCACTCACACATCATTAATGTCCGCGCACTCCCAGCCCAGTGGTGGACGTCATGGTGGACGTTGTGGTGGTGGTGGTGATCACTGTGGTTATTATGGTGGTGGTGGTTGTGGTTATTAGTGGTGGTGGTGGTGGTTATTACGGTGGTGGTGGTTATTACGGTGGTGCTGGTTGTGGTTGTGGTTATTACGGTGGTGTTGGTGGTTATTATGGTGGTGGTTATTACGGTGGTGGTGGTGGTTATTATGGTGGTGGTGGTTATTACGGTGGTGGTGGTGGTTGTGGTTATTAGTGGTGGTGGTTATTACGGTGGTGGTGGTGGTTATTAGTGGTGGTGGTGGTTATTATGGTGGTGGTGGTTATTATGGTGGTGGTGGTTATTACGGTGGTGGTGGTGGTTGTGGTTATTATGGTGGTTGTGGTTATTACGGTGGTGGTGGTGGTTATTAGTGGTGGTGGTGGTTATTACGGTGGTGGTGGTGGTGGTGGTTGAGGGTGGTGCAGGGGCTGTGTTGCTGGAGGCCGCGGTATTTGTCCAGAATTTCCTCCGGATCTGGATCCAGTTTGGAGGCAGCAGCGACGTCCTTACCTGGGGAGGAAACACACAGACACACACACACAGACACACACACAGACACACACACAGACACACACACAGACACACACAGACACACACACACAGACACACACAGACACACACACAGATACACAGTCAGACACACACACACAGATACACAGTCAGACACACACAGACACAGTCAGAAACACACAATAACAACCGCCATTCGCCACTAAGTGGCGGTGACGTCACCACGACGCTTGTGCCAGGCCATGTGCACCTTGAGGCCACGTGAAGTGTCGAACGCCCGCTGGCAGGAGGTCACGGGGCAGACCCAGCAGGTGCCACTGGTCGACTGACTGAGATGACCGAGATGACTGGCTGATGCACCACCTGTGCCCCCTAGTGTACCAACTTGCTGTGCTTTAGCCACCCGGCGCTCCGCTCGTTGTTGTGAGCGTCGCTCCTCCGCCGTCTGTTGTTGTTGAAGGGCGACTGCCTCCAACTGCCCAGTAGCGTCCTTCACGAGCCTCCTCCACTGAGACCGATCTTGACACCGCTGGTACCAGTCATCGGCAAGTCCACTCAGCTCCACGTCCTCCTGTACCACATCACTCCATCTCTTCTCTAGCCCGTGCCGCGCCCGTTTAGCCCCCTCGATCCGGCCGAACAAAAGCTGTTTAGGCATGCGGTGGCTGGGCATGCGGGCTACATGACCCAGCCAACGCAGACGCCTGCCTGGGGAGCTCACCGATGGGACTTTGCCCAGATCTTTCAAGCATTTGTGAGCTCCTCACACGATCCAGCTTGGTTAAACCCAGGATGGATCGTAGGCAGGCCAGCCTAAATGTTTCCAACCGGCAAAGATGCTCCATTAGGGGGGTCCACGTTTTGCAAGCGTAGAGAAGGGAGGGAATGACTGTGGCCGAGAAAACTTGAAGCTTCGTGTGGAGCGACAGACCAGGTAGCTTCCACACAGCGTTACGCAACCGATGAAAAGATATTGCCGCTCGACTGATTCGGAGTGAGACCTCTGCTGTTAAACCGGAGCCGGTCATAAGCACACTGCCCAGGTATGGGAAACTCTCCACTCTCTCCACTACTGCCCCATCACCGATTGGGAGTTGTGGGGGTGGAGTGTCCGATGGTACAAAATACCTAGTCAGGTGCTTAGTTTTGGTGGGGCTGATGGTAAGGCCCCACCTCTTAGTGGCACGCTCCAGTCTCAGCAGCAGCGTCTCCAACTCCTCTTCTGAATGAGCAGCTATTACCAAATCATCGGCATACATAACGTGGTTGACCAATAGGGAGCCATCCCTTGATCGCACCCGGGCGTCAATCAGCCTCCCATTATATCTGTACCAAATGGAAATTCCCCCGGTACAGCTATTGAAGGCTTCACGAACTACGCGGTTAAAATAGATGTTAAATAATCTGGGAGCCAGAGGACATTCCTGTCGCACAGCTACACACACACACACAAAGCCATACAGACACACCCACAAATATACACACATACAGACACACAAAGTAATACAGACACACACACAGACAGACACCCAGGTAAAGGTCCTCCCTGCCCCCGTGTAGCCTCCACAGACTGTCGGGACAAGTGCTGTTTGTTATTAGTAGGGAAGTGGGGGGTGGGTTACCAGCAGTCACGTGGTCAACTGAATCTCAAGTCGTCATCGTCATCATCATCAGCCATGGTCAATCCACTGCTGGATGACGGAAGGCCTGCACCCCCCCCCCCCCCCCAGTACATTGTGAGAAACACAAAAACATCGCAAAGTTGTAATTGTGCGTGCAGTTGCCTTTCCTATACTTTATACTCAAATCATGTTTGTCGTTGTTGTATTGCGTGCGTTGTTGTTGTTGTAACGCTATGACCCCCCCCCCCCCCATTTACTGGACATCCGTGGCGGGAAAAAAACCAAGAAGTGCTTCATAGCTCATCGGATTCCTCCTGCCGCAAAGCGTCAATATTGTGACGCTCCTGACGATGAGTCTGTGAGTCTCTGTGTGAGTCTCGGGGTCTCTGTGTGAGTCTATGTGTCTCTGTGTGAGTCTACGGGTCTCTGTGTGAGTCTATGTGTCTCTGTGTGAGTCTATGTGTCTCTGTGTGAGTCTACGGGTCTCTGCGTGAGTCTATGGGTCTCTGTGTGAGTCTCGGGGTCTCTGTGTGAGTCTACGGGTCTCTGTGCGAGTCTACGGGTCTCTGTGTGAGTCTACAAGTCTCTTTGTAAGTCTATGGGTCTCTGTGTGAGTCTCTGTGCGAGTCTACGGGTCTCTGTGTCTCTGTGTGAGTCTCTGTGTGAGTCTACGGGTCTCTGTGTGAGTCTACGGGTCTCTGTGTGAGTCTACGGGTCTCTGTGTGAGTCTACGGGTCTCTGTGTGAGTCTACGGGTCTCTGTGTGAGTCTCTGTGTGAGTCTACAAGTCTCTTTGTAAGTATATGGGTCTCTGTGCGAGTCTACGGGTCTCTGCGCGAGTCTACGGGTCTCTGTGCGAGTCCGTGGGGGTCGTCATCACTCGCGGACGCGACGCTCCGTTGCGTGCCGCCCCCTCTCACAGTGACAGAGCGGCCCCCCCCCCTCCACCCCCCTCCACCCCCCCTCCACCCCCCCTCCACCCCCCCCCCCTTCCACCCCCCCACTCCACCCCTGCCCTTGCACAGACGCAAACGAGCAATCGGGCGGCACGCTCGCCGATAATGTCAAATC